CCCTGAGTGAAGCTCTAGTATCAGCTCATGCAGTCCACTGGATCTCCCCATAAAGCTCAGCAGACCCTCTCACTAACCAGCAGTCTACAGACTGACCAACTTCATCTATCTCCACTCCACCACCAGTTTCAGGCCTGCTGGGAAACAGCCCTGTTCTTTGCCCCTATTCATGCATATCTATCAAGATTAAGCGCTGTTTCCTGCTGAGGTCTGAGTAATTGTATCAATAAATTTCTCCTAATTGTCATTTCTCTTTGTGTGAGTTTTACAGATTGAAATGCATTGGTAATTGTTAGATTTAGTGTTAGTTTTAGAAATGGGGCATAGAAAGGGTTGAAAATGACTGAAAACAATGAAATTCAATGGGAGTCAACACTAGGTCCTCACTACATAAAGCAGAACAAGTGTGTGTTTGTGCGGTTCGTTGTAGAAGTTTGCAGCAATCATATCATCCTGCAAGCAGCACAAAAAGATGCAATTTGGCACAAAGATTAAAAACAAACTTTTTCCATCTGGCAGAAAAATGTAATCTAACTCAGCTCTTTAAACTACTAAACATTTATCACTGCACAAAAAAGACGCAGAAAAGGCAAACCACAGAACAACCTCATTGAAGCTAGTTAAAATGAAACACCTATGGCAAGAGCAATGTTTCAAGAGATTTTAGGACGGCTGACTTAAAAATTAGGTTTAGGTATCATTCCTGTGAAGTTATGGTTAGTAAATACAAGACTGGACTATAGTGTAACAACAGACATTTAATCACTTGAAAAAGGACAAGTGATGATGATACTGTAATATGAAGCTTTATTTTGAAAGGTAAGATCAAGGTGGCCGCAGATTAACGTTACCAGACGAGCGTCATGAGGCGAGTGCTATGACATAAGAGGCTGATACCAAATCTGCTATTAATGGAGAGAGTTACAAACAGTCATCATGCAGTTACATATAATTAATGTCAGGCTTATAAAGTTTGATTTGAAACCTTATTTTGAGGGTGAAATTTGTATCTCAGTTAACCATATAAGGGAGTTTATGGGTTTGATTTGTTTGGGAAGCTCTCCAAAAACCAGCAATGATATAATTTGGAATCATTGCTAATTAGAAAAACAATACAAACCCCTCCTGCAAAGTCCTTCTGTTTCCCATTTTTAAGATATAGGCCTGGGGTTAATAACCTGTGGCTCTTATGCACTAAGAGACTCTTTGGACCCTCTATAATTGCTCCTAATAGTGGCTAAAAGTGATAAAGAACCAACTAAAGGTTTTAAATATGCTATAATATGCCAGTGTTGGAAGCTTAAATTGGTTTTTAGCAGATTTTTTTAACCTAGCTTTACTATCTTTTCCAAAAACTTTCTAAGTTGAATTTTCCCTACAGATTTGCAAAGAAAAAATCTATATGTTTTCATTTTTTTTCTTGTTATTACTTTGGAAACTTTTTCCTTTTACATATTTTTTTCACAAATATGAACACCCTATAAAAGAAAACTAATGAATTTTATGTTTTTCCTCATTTCAAAACCTAATAGTACAAATAAATGGCAAACGATTTCCTGTAGTAGATATATAACAATAAATAAGTTGTTTTTATTAAAAGCTCATGTAAAATTTGCATCTTTTATTTGATTGGAATCATGGAAAATGGCTCTTCAAAGTATCTATTTTAAGCAATTACTCAAAACCACTGGCAGCAAAACAGCTTTGAATGATGATACTGCCACCACCATGCTTAACAGTTGTTTCAGTGTCAGATTTAAAAGCCTGTCCTCCACTCCTTCATATTTGCTTTTGAGTATTGTGTTCACATAGCTCAAACCAAGCACCGTCTGACCATGAAGCACTTCCTGGTTTTCAGAATCAACCCTACATTCTGGCACACAACAAAAACATACATAAGAGATTTGTTAAAATAAGTGTATTTATCCTTAATTTGAGTAGGTAAATAAAATAATCGGTTAATGGAACAAGCAATTTCCCTCTCATTAAACAATAATTAAATATACTGCTCTTCAAATAAGACAAAGCATATTTTTTATTTAACCCTTTAAAGCCCCAACCAAGAAATAACTTTCATGAGATTCTATTTTTTTTGTATCAGAATTGGCAGTGGACTTTCTGGAAAATGAAAAAAAAACAAAAACATTTTGCATTAATTACATTTGGATCCTTAATTGGCATCATTTGTCATTCAGTAGGAATTCCTGTATAATCTTTTGTGGATGTTCTGTTCATTTTTTGCGTCTGTTTATGTAAGTCTGGATTTTCAGATAAAGAAATATCAAACTGATGATGCAGATATGATACACTTGGATTTAAAGGGTTAAATTGTCTTCTTTCATTAGAAAATAGTCTCACTTACCTGCTTAGTTAAAAAAAAATGCACTTATTTCAACATAAAAAAATGACATTAGATTTAAATTTTTTGTTGACAGTACAGCCTTAGACATAGAAGAAGGATACTTTGGATTATTTCGCAGAATTTGGTGAAACAGTGACACAACTCAATGTGTACGGTGTTAGTTGAAAAAAAAAAAGCTAATCTCTGAGTCTGTTTACAAATGGATCTAAAATACTTTGAACATTTGAGGAGTAATTTTGATTGACGGTAAGTTTCATAGGCCCTCAGATTGTGTTGATAAATCCAAAGTTTTCAGAAAAATCCTTACAATACCGGGAGAGAAAAACATAAAAAAAGTTTATATTATATAATATAAAATAAAATTTTATTATATGATATAAATAAGAGATTCATTATATTGCTAAGATCAACACTAATAGTGTCTGAGAGGGGTGAGCTGTGTGATAAGCTATTATTGACTGTATGCCATGTGGGCTGCGATCCAAGCTTTACAAGCAGTATAGGAGGATGTAATGACTGAAACAAAGACAGGGGATCATTGACCTTGGCAGATGAGCACAGGTGCTTCATTTCACTGAAGTACTGTCATTTTTTTTTCTTTTGCTTAGTCATTGCTTGAGTTCCCTCATTCCTGCATTACCTGAAAAGTAAAAGATCTGACAGGAGAGCTGGTATGACCTTTTCTCTTTTTATTTTTACCACCTTTGGCCAGTGTTCTTCTTAACTTGTAACTGCATTGTTGGCCTGTAGGCGTGAAACTGCCTCGACAGTATGCAAAAAAAACAAAAACAAAAAAAAGCAAATAGTTATAAATCCCACATCTCTGCATACAGGCAGTGCAGGGGAGATATTGGACATTTTCCATCTATAACGCCCCTCTGGGTATCCAGACTGCAGGTTATTACTGCGAACTGCTGAATATGCTGCTGAGGTGAACATTACAATCATGTTTTTCCTGATAAGGTAGTGTTAAAAACAAACAAAAAGCAAGCTGCTGTCCCCCTCGCCTCCTCTCTGCCCGAGGTCTTTGATTGAATTGATCTTTATGCAAATGCCTCACTTTTAATATGTCCTATTTTCATAAAGACAGCGAGAGGGAGAAGGAAAAAAAAAAGCAGCGTCTCGCTCTCCATCTTCAGATGGAGAGATCGCTTCTGGGTGATACTCATCTCTGCAGACGTATATTGTTTTGCAGGCAGAGTGCTGCATAAAAGACAATAAAAAACCTCGACAAGCCAATGTAATTACACTGCATCCCCATCATACAAGACTCCATATTAGAACAATGGCACTAATATAGGCATCACTCCCAATGCCCCAAAGTGACATTAAATCATAATGAAGCCACTATGTTTTTAACTGGCGAGTGTGCATGAGGCCAATAACACGATTCACATATCAGCTCTGCTATAGAGGTGATGGAGAGATTTCGCCATCAGCTCTCTGCTCTTGTTTTTGTTTGTGTGTGTGTGTGTTTTACATGTTTTACCTACAGTGTGGGTACAGTATTTTGAAAAATATCCTACATGTTGGAACTAACAGGTACATATGGGGACATTCAACTCCCCATAAGGTAAAGTTCTGTCCTTTGAGTTGAGGTTAGGGTCAGTGGCAGCTGGTCAATAGAGGACGCTAGGGTGCCGCCCCCGCAGCCCAGTGACCTTAATAAAAAAATAAATAAATTTAAGATGAAATTATATAATGCATATTTTATACCGGTAATGTCTATTTGTAGAAATATTTATAAATATATTGATGTATATTTTTTAGATGTGCAAGATAAATATTTAATCTTAAATGAAGAGTAAAGCTTAATGTCATTTTTCAACAGATTGGTGATGTATTTCCACCCAAATGTGCAAAAATGTTTGCCCATTGACTCTCGTTAAAAGTTGTACATGCGCAGTAGCTCCATACAGATGTATGGAGATGTATAGGAGAGCTCTGGGCGCACCAAAGCTACGCCCTGAGGTGACAGGAACTGTTGTCACAGTTGTAGTGCGAGTGATTGAGAGGCCGAGGGAAGCAAACTTACCAAGAGAAGCTTTAGGTAAAACCGTTTGGACCTGATCAGCCAAACATCAAAATTAATCAGCAGTTCATAAGTCAGATAGATATGCTTCACTCTGTCTTTTTCCAGGACCTGGTTTAGCTGCAAGGCTTGGCTAACTGCATGCAGCGAGGCTAAAGCTTTATTCTCCTGCCTTGACTGCTGGTGTTTCAAATGTCAGGATCTGACCCAGCATGGATAAAGACAGGTAGATTGATTTAAAGCAGTTTTTAGAAAAAATGCTAACAAAGCATGAACAATCTGGGATCAAATGGAAAAAAAATACTGTATAATATAATGTACTTTTTTTTTTAGATGTTTGTTAGTTTGCATAGTTCCACTATAAAAACACAGCATAATTTCATTTACAGGTGTGCTAACTTGGCATACATTTGATTGTTTCTTGGTATACGTCTAATTTGAATTAATAGCCCCCCCAGAGAAAACTCAACCAGCCACCACTGATGATTGTAATAGTTAGGGTTAGGTGCAAGGATTGGGTTAGGCCATATAAAATGATTTCAAGTCAATGAAATGACCCCATATTTTATGAAAACACTGCTGTGTGTCTGTGTGCATTTGCTCTACCTTCTCATGGATCTCCTGTGTTGACTGGGCATCACAGAAGGCAACGGTTGCTAAGTCTTTGAGAATGGGCATCTCCACGGTGCAGTCGCGCCCGTCCAGCAGCGCCACCAACGGGCGCGGGTGCATTGGCCCATTCATGATCTGGGGCCGAATACCTGAAGATGCATAAGAAGAGGGGGATAATCATAATTTTGAACAAAAGAGCATTGTTTGTTATATATAAAGCACAAAACATGACTCAGCATTTAATTTTTTGTTTTGTTTTTTTTAGGCAGCCAGAGTTTACAAGCTTTCTTTTGGGTTAAAGTGGCTCCTGGTCGATGGCTTTTTGACCAACTTACCAATTGATCTACCCTCTTACTACACTATAACACTGTAGCAAACACGGTTTGATAGAATGTTTTAGACATGTTTTAGACAAATATGATACATTTGGCATTACAGGGTTAAAGTGAAACTAGCAGCTGATTTACTCATTTTACTGATATACTTTAGCCAAAATGAGATATGATGATCAATTCAGTTCAGTTTATTTCATTTGATTAGTAAAAAAAAATCAAAAAAAGATGAACCTCTTTCTAGCCTTCACATATTTTCTTTGAGTGGCAGGAAGTTGTAAGGCAATCTGCAAAGCCCTTTGAATCATCTAGTCAGAAAAGGGTTAATGAATCCCAAGGGTTACAAATGTAGCACAATACCAGTTGTGAACTGGGCCTGATAAGCCTGTTCTTCCCCTAAAAGTTTCAGCGAGTCCAAGTTAAATATTTGAGCACTGGCATGCAAGTCTAATGCTTTAACACCTTGATTTGTTTAATGTTGTATATTAACAATCTATAAAAAACCTTTCGATGCAGGATTTCAAATATATGCCAATGATAGGGTGGTATATGCATATGGAAAACATTTAATTAATTACTACACAACTACAGCAACATTTAGAAACTGTGTTATTATGATTTATAATATCAAATCTTACAGTTGATTTTAGTCGAATAGTGTGGATTGGTTTCTTCTTTAAAGGTCGAGTAATCACATTTAAAGGTCAAAGGGTAAATACAAATAACTTGGTCTTGAATCAGCATTTAATATTTTAGAGTCATTTGAAAAGGTTCTAAAGTGGGCAATCTGTAGTTTCAGAATGATTTGAGATTTTTTGCTATTTTCTGCATGCTTTTTTTTCCTCTCAGCTAGTTTATTGTGGGACCTCCTGGCCACAGGCAACAGTCACAACAATTAAACAACAGAGAATGATCTACAACAGAGCTTTAACAATTCAAGATAGAAAATCTATTTGAACACAAAACAGTTTGGTTCTGCTGAAATGAAATGTAGCCAGCTCTAAAAGCTGTAAAAAGGTTTGGTATATGAATATATTATGCTAATATTGAACAAAATAGCCAGTTTAAAATTTAAACATGATCATTTTGATTTTCTATGTCTGTTGTCTCATATGTGAACCTAAATCATTTCCTGCTCCTCATAGAAATAATTAATGCTCCCTGCATAAAGGCAAAAAGGAGCATTTCTCCTCTGATATCTACATATTTGTTTTATTTAAACTCTTTACAAAGATTGCTTCGTCATGACTGTACAACATTGTCACAGTTTGCAAATACTGGGAATGTAAAAATAGCCACTATACAGTAGTTATTGCTTCTGTACTTTCTTCTTTTGTTGCACTGAACATTGGCGTTGAACATCAAATTAAAACATGCCATGTAAAATAAATACATGTTTAAATAGTAGAAATAGTAGAAAAATAAAAGGTGATTAGAAATACGTGGGAAGCAGGGCTGCTCCAAACCTACAAGGCTTGCTCAATAAATCAATGCACCTACTTCAGACTGGATTAGACTTTAGAGGAAGTCTCTCAGAATCACAGCTCTAAAACACCTGCGTCACACTCTTAAAATGTACACCTAACACAAGTGCAACAAGGTAAGGGTGTATTCATATAGCAATAAAGGAAAACACATTTCCCAATGTGACGCTTTGAAAACTACAGGCAGAAATGGACAAGCATTTACTTGCTTTTAAGGCAAGGAATCAAGATTTGATCAATAGCAAACAAAGCAGAAATCATCACCTTCACGCCGTACTTCATAGAGCAATGTATGAGTGAAATGGAGAAGACTTGAGAAAATGTTAAAAGCCCAGAACAAACCCCATAGCAGATTCACATCAGCGCAGCAGCGCACTTGACAGAGCATGTGTCGCCTTTATGGGTCTGTCACCGAGCGAGTCGTTTCCCATTTTCTCACTTAGAGTGAAGAGAGCAGAGAGGAGCTGAGCTCCCCGGTGGCTCGACCTTCTCACACATCCCTGAAGAAGACTGCATGTCGCACCGAGCAGGAAGACAATTATCAGCCCTGCTTCATACAATGTTAACAAGTGATGAGAATAAATATTCATGTCGCTTCATGTACAGATGGGCCTAAAAGCCCCCAAAAACCTTTTGACTATAGAAATCCAAGCCATAATTTATAACAGCAATGGAAGAATCCAAGCCTTAATTGATCACATACAGACCTAAAAGCCAAACCTCATTCATGAAATCACTGCTTATTGTTCTATCCCTCTTGAGTCCATTCACATTTTTCTGTTTATTTTTGTTTTCATTTATCTATTTAGCCTTTTTTGTTCGCATTAATGTCCAAAAGAGGAAAATACCTCATGCAACCCTTAATTTCAGTACTGTCCTCTTCAGTGCACACATGGCATTACTTACAGTGATGTGCAAAGACCCTCCCTCTCCACTTAAAAATAAAAATGAACATGCACAACCCTGTACCCGCTCCGGAGAGGGTACGCTTATTAAACGAGTGCGAGAGCATGCAACAGCCCATTTCTCTTTGTGCACATTCTGTTTAAAAGTTGCTGGTTGCATCACTTATATAAGGTTACTTTCCAGAAGAAGATTTGCAATTTTTCCACTAGGTCAGACTTACCACCGGTAAGTGAAAATGGGGCCGAGCACGTAGGATGGCCTTACGTAAACATATGACCAGAATGATTGACAATTAAGAAGACCACTTACATACATGATCCACCCCGAAATAGAACAACCATCCACTATACCTTTAATCTGAATAATATTGTGACATCATAGCAGTATAAGCTTAATGTTTACATTCCTCTATTCCACAGTTAAAGCCTAGTTTGCACTACTAAGAACAACACTGCATCAAATAAATGATGTGCAAATATGCACAAGTAGGGATAAAAAATAAACTCAGACTAAGGAGACTGAATGTTCAGGGCAATGCAGGCTATGCTTCATGAAATAATGAGTTCACAGGTGCAAACACTTTTGCAATCTGATAATTCCAGTTTTTTTTTAATCTATTCTCGAAAAAAAAAGAAAAAAAAGAAATTCAGTATTCTCCCAGAAGAAATGGAAATTAGGGTTTATATGTTTTTAATAAGCAGGAAAAGTTTTCTTGATCTAAATTTTATGGCCTGTGAGAATAATTTTTAAAAGTGTGAAAAAAAGACATTAAGCACAGGCATTAAAGGGGTTATAAAATCTGCAAATTGCAGAATATTTCTTATGTGAAGTTTATATGAATTATGCCATTTATTGGAAAAAAAATTGCTATTTTTACAGCAATCTTTCAAGTAGTATTTTGTCCCAAATTGACACAGGTGGGAAAGAAGAGAAGACTCAAAGGTCAATGAGTGGTAGGATTCACAGTGTCAGCGCACATTGGGATTACATCAGAGCAGGTTGATTAGGGTAGGTAACTGAGATTAGAAGGTTTAACATTAATAGTGTGTGTGTATGTGTGTGTGTGTGTGTTGCAAGGCAGGAAAATAAACAGACATAAGTGCTGCGAGAGACGTAGCATGCTTAAAACAGACTAAGCACTGCCTGTTAGCCTTAAAAGCTCCCAGGAGTCATATCAGAGGAGAGGGAGATGAAAGGGGAAACTGAAGACTGAAAATGACAGGAGAGAGGAATAAAAAAGCAAGCAGTCCAGTAGTGCAGCCACTTAGGGCAGGCTGAGTAGATATCACAGCGCTAGGGATTGCCTCCTGCAGCCCGTCTGTTGTCATGGTGATCCCTTGACAGGCTTTTGCTGTGAGTTTTGGCACGCTTTATTTTTAACACCACTTGCATGCAAGACAAGAGTGGTGGTCGGAGGGAATAGCTGCTATTATCCCCGTCACATTGCAGAGGACGGAGATGTGCTAATAATCAGACTGACTGACCCTTTTCATCCATCAACCGCTGCTTCCTACGTAAACCCTGAGTCCCGATGCAGACAGGTGATCCTGCACCGACTGTCTGTCACATGTGCAAAACGACATCTTAATTTACATCAATAGAAAGAAAGACTGTCTATATTTATAAACCCAACACTTAGTACACTAACCAACTAACCCTTTCAATCTAAAAACATTTTCTGATTAACCAGGATCAACATATATATATATTGGCATGTTGGAAAATATTGATATTAGCCAATATTGCCAAAATAATATAAAAAGGATTATTACAGGACTAGACCTGAAGGTTAAATAGCAAATCAATGAATGTGTCCATTATTTTTTTCATTATTTTTTGATCGAGTAATAATCGGACAGCAAAAGGTTCTTTCAAGAACAATTTTTAGGAAATCAAACCAGGGGAAACAAAATCTTTTCCACTTTAGCAGTTCTGGATAGAACATATTGACAGACGAAAATGTTTTTTTGTTTAAAATGCAAAATTTTTAGTTTTCTTTTACAATTTTGATATAATTGCTGCTCTAAATACATCGCTCTGTCAGCTAAATGCATATTTTAGAGTCTCTGCACTCCAGTTAACAGGTATTCCATTACTAAATTAGTTGATGATTATTTCAATAATCGATTAATCACAATTAATCTGATTAATTGTTTCACTCCCATTATGTTTTCTTAAGTATTTTTCTGCATGATTATTCAGTATTCAGGAACATATAGTACACTTTTAAAAGCCAGAATAGAAACGATAGAGTAAATCTATAAATACTGCACAGTATCCTTAGTACCTTGCAGTAGAATCACTGACTTATTGTTTTTTACTTTTTAATTTACCTTTCACTTCACCGCAATAGCTTAATTTCCCCACTAAGGCACAATAAAGGCAGTTTTGTAGTCCTCAAAGTTCTCTAGAGCTTTGAACAGCTTT